AAGCTATTGCACCCCATTTCTTTGACTATGTAAAACATCCTGTCAAGATACGTATATTTCCCATTGGCTTCCTTTTTTAATCCAGGAATCTACCCAACTTATCCAACTCAAAGTTGAGAGAGATGTTTCATTATTGGAGTTATTGTGATCAAGATCTTTTCTCTTCTTAAATTTTTCTTCCTCTTTACTGTATTATTCTCTTTCTTTACTTTCATTTGTTTGGTGATGTTTTCCTTAATTTCTTCTTGAATCACCAAATCACACCTAGGTTTCCAAATATCTTTGTATATATTTGTAATAATTGTTTCAATTATTATATTAGTAATGTTGGTTGTGGATTTGTTACACTGTATAATTTTATAAATGTTATTTGTTAATGATTTTGGAATTATTCCATTAATTAAATCTAAGAAGGTAATTTTTTGTTCATCATAATATGGATCCCAACACATGTCTGACAGTATATTATTTATATTATGATCTTTGCTGTTATACTGTTTCGATGATTTAATTTTTTCTGTTATGTATCTTTTACATTTTTTAATTATTTCTTTGATTATTTTTTGACTATTGCCACACAACCATAAGTGCTGTTGTGTCTCATTTTCTTGTTTACAGGAAATGCATGTCCATTCATTTCCATATAAATCAGGTCGTCTTATCTTCAAGTTTTCTAGTACAGGTAAATTATTATTCATAGTTTTAATTTTAAACGTTTTAATTTTGCTTTCTGAGAATGATGTCCCTGGTTGTCTGTTGTAAGATGAAAAGGCAAAACTTTTCCATGTTCTGTCCTTTATTAACTTTGCATATTTTGCAAGCCTGTGTAATAGCAACCACCAATTAAAAGCTTCAGCTTGGTTAATTGATTTGATGAAGGAACATATTGGTTGTTCAATTAAAATATCATTAAAATATAAAGTAGCTTTAAGTGTCTTTGTTTTAGTGAAGTCGAATTTTATTGTTTGGCTTACAAGCCCTTGTTTAGCAGATAAGTCAGCTGCATTATTAAAAATATTGTTTGAATGTGCTTTAACTTTCCTACACTTCAAATTAATGTTCTTTTTTTTAATCAACTCTTCTATTATGAGCCAAATAGTAAAATTTTTAATTTTGTATTTATGTGTTATTGCCACATAAATACATGGATTATTGAAGAATTCTAAGTACTCAATTGATGTTTTGCTATCTGTATAAATGGTTACATTGCTATTTGAAGGAACTACAAGTAATGTTGTTAATATTGATATGGTTTCTGCTTTATTTGATGATGGCCAGTTTCCCATTCCTGCATTAAAAGAATGAGTAATTTCATTATTGAGCCTTCTGATCCATCCTATACCCATATTCACTGATGTATCATCATTAATTTTCATTGATCCATCTGTATAGAAAGTAAAATCCATTTCATAAAAAAATTGTATTTCAAGTTCAGTTAACTTGTCATGTATTTATTTCTTTATCAATAATATATTGATTTATAAAGTTATTTTCAGTTATATTAAAATCATCATTTAGCATTGTAATATTTTGTCTTGGTATTATATAATTTAAATCACTATTATTGTTTATTCTAGCTATAACTTTTTGTTTAATCTCAAATATTGAGCTATTTAGTGTAATTTGTTCATCATTTGTATTTAAATATCTTTTCTTATATGTTGTTACTACAATAGCAGAGTTTGATTCACACCAAAAATGACAATTACCACTATTTTGAATTTCTTGTGGTATGGAGTATTTACATCCATGGCATTGTATTAATATAGGAGGGTTTGATGTAGGGGTAGTTCCTATATTTTGAATGAGGTGATTCCAATGTTCTATCCTTATCTTGTTATTTTTTGATTTTTTTTCTATTCTTCCTAATACAAGTTCAGAACCAC